AGCTATTAGATATAAGCTTCTTGCAACTATTAGGAACATATATATCACTGAACCAAAGATAATAATTTCATCTTGCAGTAGAATCTCGAACAGGTATTCTAATTTCTTCTTATAATGAATTTTAATTAACTGTTTTCCGTTATTTTCAGTTTCAGTTTGGGTTTTCAATTCAGGAAATTACACCGTACAGTATTTCCACATTATTTAAATATGATGTATCCATAAAGGTGAATCGCTAGATGTGGAACGTATAAGACGTTTCAAAGAAGACTACCACAAAGTACAGTGACTAGTGGACTATCAAAATACTGAAGGGTGAAGAAGACCGAATTGGCTCAGTGAGCTGAAATCACTAATATAAATGACAACGCAATAAATGTAATGTAATGTAATACAGTTATCAAGGGAGTGACAGAATGATCACACAATTTTTCTAAGCTCACAAGTTCATTTAAAACAGTTTGATTGCGGTCGCTTTTACAAGTCATCATAAGTTTGGTTTCTTCTCAATGATTTAGATATTTTGACAAAATGCCTCGTATCCATGATGTGCCTGATAATTGCACTTTTTGAATATCTGCTTCCATGTAGATATAAATTTCCTGGAATATATTCAGAGGTCAAATTTTTATTTTATTTTTTGGTAAAAAGAATAACTTTTACCTGAGAATAGACGATTTATTCTGCGTCTTCCCATCAAGATGGAAGTGATGAAATCTGCAATTGTTCTGACGAGGTGTAAAAAACTCTTTTACAATGAGTATTCAGAACAAGAACATTTGGATTTACAGGATCGCATCATGAGATGATGTCAGTTAAAAAACAACTGGAAAACCTCTGAGTAATGGACAACTGTTTCGTCCCATTTTGTGACTCTGAATCAGTATGCACATACCGGAGTTCGAACCCAGCAACTTCCGGTTACAAGGTCAGCTCATAGACCATTAAGGCACTGGGATCCAATCCATTGGTTCATGGGTTGTCTTGTTTACAGTGGGAATTCGTGACCAGTGGGGTGTGAAGACAAATACTCGCGCTATATTGTGAATTGGCAGAAGTTGGAATTCATGGGTTGGCCATTGGATCAGAGTACCAGAGGCTTAATCATCTTAGAGCTCGCCTTGTAAGCAGTAGGCCCTGGGTTCGAACCCTAGTGGGTGGGTACTAATGAAGAGTGTTGAACTAAGATGACTTGGTTGTTCACTGCTCGGAGGTTTTCCAATGGTTCTCTAACTGATATCACCTAATGATGAAATCCTGCAACCAATCGAATCTCTGCAAACGAATGATTGAATAGTTGAGGTTTTCAGATTCAGATCCTATGGCTGAATGTTCATCCGCATATATATATATATAGAGAGAGAGAGAGAGAGGATTACCGGGGACGCGGTAGATTACTGGAAACCTCTCAGGGTTAATTAGATATCCATTATCGATCAGGGTAGCTGAAAAATCACTGTTTATGCAATTGGTTGCCCCTTTACTCAGACATACAGTTACGCCTTCGAGTGAGTGTATAGATAAAGCCGTGTGAGAATGGCTTATGTAAATAGCTTCCCAGATACACACTGATGAGAGCATCATGGGCAATTTATCCTTGACTCTCTGTGTTTAGTTGCAGGGATGTCCTCCTAACCTACCAGTTCAATCGATATTTTACAGTGTCTGTAACGATCTCACCTTGGTAATTTAACTTTCTGTCGAACGTTTTCTTACCTATGATATCTATCATTGCCCTATCTCTAGGTGTCAATATGTTCACTCTACCTTTTCTTGTTCTGAATAAAATGCAAGGAAATTCAAATTACAGTCAGTATTATTCTTTCATGTTTCAAGTGGAACACAGAGATTTAAGCTTTGAAGTTTCAGCTTCGCTCCTTAAGAAGTGAGGTTGCCATCCTCACACACAACCTTTCCACTTTAACAGACGTACCACCAGTCAGAAAATAAGCTGACGTTAAGCAGTGTATCGGCCGTAAATCGAACCCCGGACGACGTGCGTGGTTGGCGAGAATTCTCTCATTGAACTGTCTAAGCAGATATATATACATATATAATTACTTTGAAATCAAAATGGTCTTCAAAACAGAAAAATATCTAACAATCGACTGGAGTAGTCAGAAAACAAATTAAAGGTGGCACAGAATTCATTAAAATGCATTACGTGTTAGTATCAGGATAGTGATAGCATTAAACGACGCTGATAATAATAATAATCATAATAATAATAAGGTTGAGTCTAACTTCTCTCTTCTGTAGTTTGTTTTTACAAAATGTCACACAAGATTGAATATTACTGCTTACAGTACTTCCAATTACCAAAATGAATATAATCTCTGGAATTTTTTATTCTTAAAAACCATAAGAATATCTCGTTAGTAATTATGATAACAATAATAATGTTTTGAATGACACGTAAATAAGTAAAACTTTACGTTAGTATAAACAAAGGTCAAGTAATGCAAGTAATACTTGCCAAAATCCTGACTGACTAGTCAAGTAAAGTGAAGAAGTCTAACCATAGTAAAATGAAAGAATATCTTGGCGTTGTCTTTCATTTCATTTTGTCACAATTATTACCACTTAAAACACTTCGCTGGCTAAAAACAAAGCATGCATTAGCTATAATCTACAACTCCTAATAAGGCTCACAACTGAAGTAGGTTAAGAACCAGGTTTAAAACCGATATAATGCCGCATAGCTGCTTTCAAGTCCCTCTCGCACTGTGTTTAACAATAGTTCGATGGTTTCCGGTCCAGGATACTTTTCTCTGATCCTTCTCCTTGTTATTAGACTGAGTATTCCTGTTAGTAGCTTTCACACATATAACTCAAATGAAAACAAACGCTTAACAACTTTGATATGGCATATTAACAAATTCAAATTATTCTAAGTAACTCAAAATGTGAAACACTTTTACATAAAATGCCGAAAATAAATCGAGTGTAAATTATAGACAGCACTTAACAGATATTTGGTTCTAGTTTGAGACTCTTCAAAAGTCCTCATTCACGACCTCATCAGGGATCGAACAAGCAACCTTAAGGTTGAGAGGCGAACCCATTGACCATTGAGCCGTTAGGTCAAAATTTAATAGCCTGTGAATTCTACCTTCTGTAAAATGGTGATATGGTGCTACCGATAACCAATGACACTTAATTAGCATCCAGTTCTATTTGACACGTTGGAACCTATCGGTCATGCCTTTTCCTTAGGACTTTAAGACTTCCTTCTAATCGGCAATTATTAGCTGAAGATTGACATACAGGTTATAAGTCTTCATCCACGTCAGCATAAAGTTGTCGCTCATTTATGGCACTGGGGCGCCATATCACCAGTCAGCAGAAGTTAGAACCACTGGATGGTCAATGAAATAGCAGAATAACTTGAAGGTCTCATATTCGACCTCTACTAGGGTCATGGGTGCTCACTTATTAAGAGTCCTTTTCTAGGACTAAACACCTGTCAATAACTTCCTGGTTCCCGAAGACTCTATACTGAAATTTGGCATCATGTGAGCTCATAAAAGAACAATGTACCAAGATAAACTCATAGATTTACCCACACTCAACTTATCAGCAAGTAACAAGTTATGTGTCAAATTCTGGGTTACTTTTTTTCATTTTCTATCAGTATTATGTAGGCTAATTATGTCCAAGACTTTGTCTTCAGTGATATCCGTACCAATCTTCAATCAGCTTCATTTTCTCTGTGATACCATGCTGATGAATGTCAAAAGTCAAAGAAATTATGTAATGTCAATTTACATTCTGATGAGTATATGCAAATATTTACCAGTAAAATACTGATTTATCCCTAGAGAGGATGAATGCATTGTATAGTGCATTGTATAGCAAACGCTACAACAGATATTGCATCTGAGGATGAAATAGATAAAACAACTTTAAAACAGTCAAATATAACATTTAGTATAACTGGAGTATTTCTTTAAACACGTAATAGAAAATCACATTTGATCGACTACTGGAGAAAGTTCAAATTGTTGTAATTGACCGCGTTTTCTCTACCATATCAAGGAGGTGGATACAAAACAGAGGTATATTTGTTTGTCGACAACTCAACCTTATGAGTTATTCACTCGACAAGTATTTACTTACGTAATACTATTCCTTTGGGTAAATTTGACTTAAAATAAACTGACGAGGATATCAAAACAAAAATCGGAAAAGCAAGACAAGCTTTCACTACTCTCAAGTCTGTGTAGAGGTCAACAGCATTCAGCATCAAAAATAAAATCCGGATTTTCAACTCCAATGTGAAGTCAGTCAGTGCTACTATACGGATCCGAGACTTGCACTGCACGTCATAAAGAGCATCTCAAACAAACTACAGACCTTCATTAACAGTTGTCTTCGCTCAATACTCAAGATCAGATGGCCGGCCAGAAAAGATCAGCAACAGAGATCTCTGGCAATGAGCGAACCAACTCAGCAGGAACCGATTGTGAAACAAATAGGCAGAAAGAAATGGAGATGGATTGGTCATACTCTGAGGAAACCACCAAGTGAGTGACATCACTAGACAAGCCATTACTCGAGTGGAACCCGAAAGGGAAGTGGCGAGTTGGTCGTCAGTGCAAGGGTGACTTGGAGGAGGTCATGTGAAGAGGAGATGAAAGCATGTCGGCAGACTTAGAGCCACGTGAAGACTCTAGCAGAGAACCGAACACAATGAAGACGCACGGCTGAAGCCCTGTGTTCCTCTAGGAATTAAAGGAAACAATAATAATAATGTAATAAACAACCCTTACTACAATGAGTTACACAAAAATGATTATTTCAAGAAATTTCAGTTGACATTAAGCGTGCCACAAACATATTAACTTGTACATAATTATTCAGTAAAATCTTATTCAACCCATAAATTATAGTGATTGGTTAATTTGTTATTTTTATGTCTATTCATCACTCTCGATGTGTCTGTCATTCTTTTGCCTTTATTTGATTGCTTCTTCTTCTTTAAAATATATGTAGTATAGAAGCGTAGGGTTAGTATATGTGGGTTACTTATAATTTTGTAATCAGTCAAGTTGATTTTATCCAATACCAACTGGAACTGAAGGCGGTATACACATCATGTAACCAAGATTGTAGCATGGTAAGTTAATCTGTGAATCCACTTTTAAACGTTGTGATAGGTTGCTCCATTTTCAAATACTTTATTTTAGTTAAATAATGTGTGCAGGGGTTCTGTGCTTTAATTTGTTTTCTCCAGTTTACCAGTACTACTATTAGTACTAATACTAATACTAAGGAGTCAATAATTTTTACACCTACGCTAAGTCTGTTATCAACCAAGCCTACAATTGTATATTTCTCTTAATTCTATCCAGTTCACACTGTGAAGGTTTGGAAGATACACGTCTCCTTGCATTATGCGGAGCTTCCATTATAACGATAAGGCATCTTGTGAATAAACGGCAGCACACTTTCGAATTTTCAGCCTTATTTCTGTTTTCTTTGTTTTTTTGTTGTTTTTTTTGATACACCGTTTTTCTTATAATCATCATCATCAATAATTTATAATATTTATTTCTTGCAAATTCAATATTTCATGGAATAAATATAATGAAATGGCAATGATCAAGTCATCGTATATATGTGATTGAGAATACATAAATATTATCCAGAGAGAAAAGTCCTTTCTCAACTCACTTGCACTTTTGTTTTCTCCGTCGATATTTCAGATCAATCAGCTTTCAATACACAAATAAAAATAAAATAATAATAACAATAAGAATAATGAAGACAAATGCTTTTGATATACTATCCTGTTTATCAAACTTTATTATACCATGTTTTGCTGCTACAGAACTTATGGAGACATAATCCTTCACATTGATATCAATTCAAACGATTAAATTACTCTCCTGTTTTCTATTCAACCAACCGAATACACCTAGTGTTGTGTTGTGTTGTGTATACATAATTTTACAAATATTAACAATAAATCTGGAAGCTACCTGCTTTATATAATTCAATAAAAACGAATCTACTACTAACCATGTCTACTGATAAATTGCATAAATCTGATGAATGCGCTCAAATTGAACAACAAGTAGTCAAGGAAAATCTAATTGAAGATGATTACAAAGTCAAATTACATGATGATGATGATGAAGTCTACAAAACTCTAACAGATCCTGTGAGTGAAAAATCAAAACTATCCGATGTTTGGGAGACTAGTCATACACCGCCATTAGAATCAACATTGACAAAAAGTCCAATGAAATCTAGTAATACAAATTTAGACGACAAAAAAGGTAGTCATGACGATCCTGGTATTGATGAAGACAATAAACATAAATTATCATCTAGTAGTGATCTACTGAAAGATAATTCGAATTATCGAATGACAGACGATTATGAAACCTATTTATCGTGTATTGAAAAGGATATTTGTACAGAATTTGATAATCCCATGTATATACCGATTAAATTACCGTTAAGCAGTAATTTATACGTTCCAGTATATTATGTACAGTCAAGTGAAGAAGCTTCACCTAAATCACATAAACATAATGTGGATTATAATGATAGTAATATTAATAATTCAACGGTAAGTCACAAGTTTATATTGTCTGATGATAATGCTTATCTAAGAGGAAATGATTCACCTGCTGCTAGACTAGAAGCTGATCATCATATAAATACTAATAATCAGGGATATGATAACTATGTATTACCGCACTACACCTCTGAAATTAGTCCAGATCACTGTGATTTAAAAATGTGTCAGGTAGAGATGACATCTGATAAACTGCCAGTTAATCTGAAGCATTCAGGGAAAAAATTAAGATCAAAATCCGATAAACCGGTTAAAGAAAAGACAATTTTCAAGAAGACTAAGTCAAAGACCGAAAAGTCAAAAGATGAACAGTCCACGCCTATCTCAAAGAACAAGGAACGACATAAAGATACTACTGGTTGTTCGCCAAGATTAAAAATAAAAAAGAAGGTCAGAAATAACAATGATAAGGAGAAAATCAAACGGGAGACATCGAAAAAAGACAGTTTCAGGGAAGTAAGTGAGAAGTCAGAAGACAATCAAGGTTTCATCGACATCCAAAACGACACTATGAGCAATAAACCTATGCGTATTAAAAGAGGTGGCAAAACAGCTGTCGATAAAAAGAAAAACAGCAAGAAATTATTCCACAAAACGACGCCAAATTCCAAACAAGACGACTACACAATAAGTGTAGAACATCAAGGAGACGACAGTAATCTCAGGGAAAAGTCGAAAAACAAAATCAAACAGCCGAAAAATTGGAAAATATGCGTCCCAAACAGAAGTCACAAAATAAATAAAAACATCACGCCAATAAAAGTAAAAAACCAAACAAATCAAGAAAATCAACCAACACAAGAAATATACGAAACAGATGTAAATGAAAATTTACCCACCACAAAAATTGAAAGCACAAAAGAATTCATTATAGAAAAAGAAAACAAAACAAATAAAACCGCAGACACAAACATCAAACCAAAAATCAAACACAGATTCCCTGAAAGACAGACGAAATTAAAAGCATCGAAAGCTGCTGAGAAGATGGAGGGAGAGGGAGGTGCGAAGGTAGATTTGGACGCCGGACTGGACGCCCACATTGATGGCAAAGCAAGCAAAGGAGGTAAGAAATTCCACTGGTCTCCGAAGTTCGGGTTCCCGAAGGGTGGTCTGAAGATAGGTGGTGGTGCCAAAACGCCGGACGCCTCAATATCTGTCTCGGCTCCGACTGGTGGTGTTGATGTCTCAGTTCCGAAACCCGATCTCGACGTCTCCTTGGAGGTTCCTGATGTGGAGGTATCTGCGTCTGTGCCGGAAATCGGCGTGTCAGGTGGTGCAGGTAGAGGTGGAGAGTTGGGAGTGACTGGACAGGTCTCGGCTCCCGATGTGGACGTCAGTGTTCCATCGAAGAAGTTCACCTTCGGTTGGGGCTCCAAAGGCAAGAAGGCGAAGAAGGCGAAGTTGCCGAAGGTGTTGGGAGACATAGGTGCTGGTGTCGATGTCAGTGGGAAGGTTGATGTTCCGAGTGTTGAGGTTGATGTGGACGCAGGTGCTCATGGCAAAGGTAAGAAGTTCAACTGGTCACCTAAAATCACTTTGCCAAAGTTCAAGATGCACATGCCAGAGGTGTCTGGAAAACTGCATGCAGATGCACCCGATGTGAGTGTGAGTGGAACTGGTCCATCTGTGGAATTGCCATCATTGAGAGCCAGTGGTAATTTGCCGAGTGTCGACGTGTCCCTTCCAGACGCATCGTTAACAGGTGATCTCTCTGGTAAGCTGGATCTAGATGGGACTGGCGTGAAGATCAACGACGCTGATTTGAAACTGCCTGACTTGGAGATATCAGGAGGTGTGAGTGCACCGTCTGTGGAGGGTGACTTGTCCATTCCTCAGGTGTCTGCCGGTCTGGATACAGATGTGAAACTACCCAGTGCTGAATTGGACGTGAAATTGCCTAGTGTACAGCTGACCGGTCCAGATCTCGACGTGCATGGTGTAGCGCCAGATGCAGGTGTGAGTGCGAGTGTCGACGTTCCCAAACCGCATATTTCAATCAAGGCACCGAAATTCGGTTTCGGTTTTGGTAATAAGAAGGCGAAATTGAAGACACCGAAAGCTGGTGTGAAGGTGGAGGGAGAGGGAGGTGCGAAGGTAGATTTGGACGCCGGACTGGACGCCCACATTGATGGCAAAGCAAGCAAAGGAGGTAAGAAATTCCACTGGTCTCCGAAGTTCGGGTTCCCGAAGGGTGGTCTGAAGATAGGTGGTGGTGCCAAAACGCCGGACGCCTCAATATCTGTCTCGGCTCCGACTGGTGGTGTTGATGTCTCAGTTCCGAAACCCGATCTCGACGTCTCCTTGGAGGTTCCTGATGTGGAGGTATCTGCGTCTGTGCCGGAAATCGGCGTGTCAGGTGGTGCAGGTAGAGGTGGAGAGTTGGGAGTGACTGGACAGGTCTCGGCTCCCGATGTGGACGTCAGTGTTCCATCGAAGAAGTTCACCTTCGGTTGGGGCTCCAAAGGCAAGAAGGCGAAGAAGGCGAAGTTGCCGAAGGTGTCGGGAGACATAGGTGCTGGTGTCGATGTCAGTGGGAAGGTTGATGTTCCGAGTGTTGAGGTTGATGTGGACGCAGGTGCTCATGGCAAAGGTAAGAAGTTCAACTGGTCACCTAAAATCACTTTGCCAAAGTTCAAGATGCACATGCCAGAGGTGTCTGGAAAACTGCATGCAGATGCACCCGATGTGAGTGTGAGTGGAACTGGTCCATCTGTGGAATTGCCATCATTGAGAGCCAGTGGTAATTTGCCGAGTGTCGACGTGTCCCTTCCAGACGCATCGTTAACAGGTGATCTCTCTGGTAAGCTGGATCTAGATGGGACTGGCGTGAAGATCAACGACGCTGATTTGAAACTGCCTGACTTGGAGATATCAGGAGGTGTGAGTGCACCGTCTGTGGAGGGTGACTTGTCCATTCCTCAGGTGTCTGCCGGTCTGGATACAGATGTGAAACTACCCAGTGCTGAATTGGACGTGAAATTGCCTAGTGTACAGCTGACCGGTCCAGATCTCGACGTGCATGGTGTAGCGCCAGATGCAGGTGTGAGTGCGAGTGTCGACGTTCCCAAACCGCATATTTCAATCAAGGCACCGAAATTCGGTTTCGGTTTTGGTAATAAGAAGGCGAAATTGAAGACACCGAAAGCTGGTGTGAAGGTGGAGGGAGAGGGAGGTGCGAAGGTAGATTTGGACGCCGGACTGGACGCCCACATTGATGGCAAAGCAAGCAAAGGAGGTAAGAAATTCCACTGGTCTCCGAAGTTCGGGTTCCCGAAGGGTGGTCTGAAGATAGGTGGTGGTGCCAAAACGCCGGACGCCTCAATATCTGTCTCGGCTCCGACTGGTGGTGTTGATGTCTCAGTTCCGAAACCCGATCTCGACGTCTCCTTGGAGGTTCCTGATGTGGAGGTATCTGCGTCTGTGCCGGAAATCGGCGTGTCAGGTGGTGCAGGTAGAGGTGGAGAGTTGGGAGTGACTGGACAGGTCTCGGCTCCCGATGTGGACGTCAGTGTTCCATCGAAGAAGTTCACCTTCGGTTGGGGCTCCAAAGGCAAGAAGGCGAAGAAGGCGAAGTTGCCGAAGGTGTCGGGAGACATAGGTGCTGGTGTCGATGTCAGTGGGAAGGTTGATGTTCCGAGTGTTGAGGTTGATGTGGACGCAGGTGCTCATGGCAAAGGTAAGAAGTTCAACTGGTCACCTAAAATCACTTTGCCAAAGTTCAAGATGCACATGCCAGAGGTGTCTGGAAAACTGCATGCAGATGCACCCGATGTGAGTGTGAGTGGAACTGGTCCATCTGTGGAATTGCCATCATTGAGAGCCAGTGGTAATTTGCCGAGTGTCGACGTGTCCCTTCCAGACGCATCGTTAACAGGTGATCTCTCTGGTAAGCTGGATCTAGATGGGACTGGCGTGAAGATCAACGACGCTGATTTGAAACTGCCTGACTTGGAGATATCAGGAGGTGTGAGTGCACCGTCTGTGGAGGGTGACTTGTCCATTCCTCAGGTGTCTGCCGGTCTGGATACAGATGTGAAACTACCCAGTGCTGAATTGGACGTGAAATTGCCTAGTGTACAGCTGACCGGTCCAGATCTCGACGTGCATGGTGTAGCGCCAGATGCAGGTGTGAGTGCGAGTGTCGACGTTCCCAAACCGCATACTTCAATCAAGGCACCGAAATTCGGTTTCGGTTTTGGTAATAAGAAGGCGAAATTGAAGACACCGAAAGCTGGTGTGAAGGTGGAGGGAGAGGGAGGTGCGAAGGTAGATTTGGACGCCGGACTGGACGCCCACATTGATGGCAAAGCAAGCAAAGGAGGTAAGAAATTCCACTGGTCTCCGAAGTTCGGGTTCCCGAAGGGTGGTCTGAAGATAGGTGGTGGTGCCAAAACGCCGGACGCCTCAATATCTGTCTCGGCTCCGACTGGTGGTGTTGATGTCTCAGTTCCGAAACCCGATCTCGACGTCTCCTTGGAGGTTCCTGATGTGGAGGTATCTGCGTCTGTGCCGGAAATCGGCGTGTCAGGTGGTGCAGGTAGAGGTGGAGAGTTGGGAGTGACTGGACAGGTCTCGGCTCCCGATGTGGACGTCAGTGTTCCATCGAAGAAGTTCACCTTCGGTTGGGGCTCCAAAGGCAAGAAGGCGAAGAAGGCGAAGTTGCCGAAGGTGTCGGGAGACATAGGTGCTGGTGTCGATGTCAGTGGGAAGGTTGATGTTCCGAGTGTTGAGGTTGATGTGGACGCAGGTGCTCATGGCAAAGGTAAGAAGTTCAACTGGTCACCTAAAATCACTTTGCCAAAGTTCAAGATGCACATGCCAGAGGTGTCTGGAAAACTGCATGCAGATGCACCCGATGTGAGTGTGAGTGGAACTGGTCCATCTGTGGAATTGCCATCATTGAGAGCCAGTGGTAATTTGCCGAGTGTCGACGTGTCCCTTCCAGACGCATCGTTAACAGGTGATCTCTCTGGTAAGCTGGATCTAGATGGGACTGGCGTGAAGATCAACGACGCTGATTTGAAACTGCCTGACTTGGAGATATCAGGAGGTGTGAGTGCACCGTCTGTGGAGGGTGACTTGTCCATTCCTCAGGTGTCTGCCGGTCTGGATACAGATGTGAAACTACCCAGTGCTGAATTGGACGTGAAATTGCCTAGTGTACAGCTGACCGGTCCAGATCTCGACGTGCATGGTGTAGCGCCAGATGCAGGTGTGAGTGCGAGTGTCGACGTTCCCAAACCGCATATTTCAATCAAGGCACCGAAATTCGGTTTCGGTTTTGGTAATAAGAAGGCGAAATTGAAGACACCGAAAGCTGGTGTGAAGGTGGAGGGAGAGGGAGGTGCGAAGGTAGATTTGGACGCCGGACTGGACGCCCACATTGATGGCAAAGCAAGCAAAGGAGGTAAGAAATTCCACTGGTCTCCGAAGTTCGGGTTCCCGAAGGGTGGTCTGAAGATAGGTGGTGGTGCCAAAACGCCGGACGCCTCAATATCTGTCTCGGCTCCGACTGGTGGTGTTGATGTCTCAGTTCCGAAACCCGATCTCGACGTCTCCTTGGAGGTTCCTGATGTGGAGGTATCTGCGTCTGTGCCGGAAATCGGCGTGTCAGGTGGTGCAGGTAGAGGTGGAGAGTTGGGAGTGACTGGACAGGTCTCGGCTCCCGATGTGGACGTCAGTGTTCCATCGAAGAAGTTCACCTTCGGTTGGGGCTCCAAAGGCAAGAAGGCGAAGAAGGCGAAGTTGCCGAAGGTGTCGGGAGACATAGGTGCTGGTGTCGATGTCAGTGGGAAGGTTGATGTTCCGAGTGTTGAGGTTGATGTGGACGCAGGTGCTCATGGCAAAGGTAAGAAGTTCAACTGGTCACCTAAAATCACTTTGCCAAAGTTCAAGATGCACATGCCAGAGGTGTCTGGAAAACTGCATGCAGATGCACCCGATGTGAGTGTGAGTGGAACTGGTCCATCTGTGGAATTGCCATCATTGAGAGCCAGTGGTAATTTGCCGAGTGTCGACGTGTCCCTTCCAGACGCATCGTTAACAGGTGATCTCTCTGGTAAGCTGGATCTAGATGGGACTGGCGTGAAGATCAACGACGCTGATTTGAAACTGCCTGACTTGGAGATATCAGGAGGTGTGAGTGCACCGTCTGTGGAGGGTGACTTGTCCATTCCTCAGGTGTCTGCCGGTCTGGATACAGATGTGAAACTACCCAGTGCTGAATTGGACGTGAAATTGCCTAGTGTACAGCTGACCGGTCCAGATCTCGACGTGCATGGTGTAGCGCCAGATGCAGGTGTGAGTGCGAGTGTCGACGTTCCCAAACCGCATATTTCAATCAAGGCACCGAAATTCGGTTTCGGTTTTGGTAATAAGAAGGCGAAATTGAAGACACCGAAAGCTGGTGTGAAGGTGGAGGGAGAGGGAGGTGCGAAGGTAGATTTGGACGCCGGACTGGACGCCCACATTGATGGCAAAGCAAGCAAAGGAGGTAAGAAATTCCACTGGTCTCCGAAGTTCGGGTTCCCGAAGGGTGGTCTGAAGATAGGTGGTGGTGCCAAAACGCCGGACGCCTCAATATCTGTCTCGGCTCCGACTGGTGGTGTTGATGTCTCAGTTCCGAAACCCGATCTCGACGTCTCCTTGGAGGTTCCTGATGTGGAGGTATCTGCGTCTGTGCCGGAAATCGGCGTGTCAGGTGGTGCAGGTAGAGGTGGAGAGTTGGGAGTGACTGGACAGGTCTCGGCTCCCGATGTGGACGTCAGTGTTCCATCGAAGAAGTTCACCTTCGGTTGGGGCTCCAAAGGCAAGAAGGCGAAGAAGGCGAAGTTGCCGAAGGTGTCGGGAGACATAGGTGCTGGTGTCGATGTCAGTGGGAAGGTTGATGTTCCGAGTGTTGAGGTTGATGTGGACGCAGGTGCTCATGGCAAAGGTAAGAAGTTCAACTGGTCACCTAAAATCACTTTGCCAAAGTTCAAGATGCACATGCCAGAGGTGTCTGGAAAACTGCATGCAGATGCACCCGATGTGAGTGTGAGTGGAACTGGTCCATCTGTGGAATTGCCATCATTGAGAGCCAGTGGTAATTTGCCGAGTGTCGACGTGTCCCTTCCAGACGCATCGTTAACAGGTGATCTCTCTGGTAAGCTGGATCTAGATGGGACTGGCGTGAAGATCAACGACGCTGATTTGAAACTGCCTGACTTGGAGATATCAGGAGGTGTGAGTGCACCGTCTGTGGAGGGTGACTTGTCCATTCCTCAGGTGTCTGCCGGTCTGGATACAGATGTGAAACTACCCAGTGCTGAATTGGACGTGAAATTGCCTAGTGTACAGCTGACCGGTCCAGATCTCGACGTGCATGGTGTAGCGCCAGATGCAGGTGTGAGTGCGAGTGTCGACGTTCCCAAACCGCATATTTCAATCAAGGCACCGAAATTCGGTTTCGGTTTTGGTAATAAGAAGGCGAAATTGAAGACACCGAAAGCTGGTGTGAAGGTGGAGGGAGAGGGAGGTGCGAAGGTAGATTTGGACGCCGGACTGGACGCCCACATTGATGGCAAAGCAAGCAAAGGAGGTAAGAAATTCCACTGGTCTCCGAAGTTCGGGTTCCCGAAGGGTGGTCTGAAGATAGGTGGTGGTGCCAAAAAGCCGGACGCCTCAATATCTGTCTCGGCTCCGACTGGTGGTGTTGATGTCTCAGTTCCGAAACCCGATCTCGACGTCTCCTTGGAGGTTCCTGATGTGGAGGTATCTGCGTCTGTGCCGGAAATCGGCGTGTCAGGTGGTGCAGGTAGAGGTGGAGAGTTGGGAGTGACTGGACAGGTCTCGGCTCCCGATGTGGACGTCAGTGTTCCATCGAAGAAGTTCACCTTCGGTTGGGGCTCCAAAGGCAAGAAGGCGAAGAAGGCGAAGTTGCCGAAGGTGTCGGGAGACATAGGTGCTGGTGTCGATGTCAGTGGGAAGGTTGATGTTCCGAGTGTTGAGGTTGATGTGGACGCAGGTGCTCATGGCAAAGGTAAGAAGTTCAACTGGTCACCTAAAATCACTTTGCCAAAGTTCAAGATGCACATGCCAGAGGTGTCTGGAAAACTGCATGCAGATGCACCCGATGTGAGTGTGAGTGGAACTGGTCCATCTGTGGAATTGCCATCATTGAGAGCCAGTGGTAATTTGCCGAGTGTCGACGTGTCCCTTCCAGACGCATCGTTAACAGGTGATCTCTCTGGTAAGCTGGATCTAGATGGGACTGGCGTGAAGATCAACGACGCTGATTTGAAACTGCCTGACTTGGAGATATCAGGAGGTGTGAGTGCACCGTCTGTGGAGGGTGACTTGTCCATTCCTCAGGTGTCTGCCGGTCTGGATACAGATGTGAAACTACCCAGTGCTGAATTGGACGTGAAATTGCCTAGTGTACAGCTGACCGGTCCAGATCTCGACGTGCATGGTGTAGCGCCAGATGCAGGTGTGAGTGCGAGTGTCGACGTTCCCAAACCGCATATTTCAATCAAGGCACCGAAATTCGGTTTCGGTTTTGGTAATAAGAAGGCGAAATTGAAGACACCGAAAGCTGGTGTGAAGGTGGAGGGAGAGGGAGGTGCGAAGGTAGATTTGGACGCCGGACTGGACGCCCACATTGATGGCAAAGCAAGCAAAGGAGGTAAGAAATTCCACTGGTCTCCGAAGTTCGGGTTCCCGAAGGGTGGTCTGAAGATAGGTGGTGGTGCCAAAACGCCGGACGCCTCAATATCTGTCTCGGCTCCGACTGGTGGTGTTGATGTCTCAGTTCCGAAACCCGATCTCGACGTCTCCTTGGAGGTTCCTGATGTGGAGGTATCTGCGTCTGTGCCGGAAATCGGCGTGTCAGGTGGTGCAGGTAGAGGTGGAGAGTTGGGAGTGACTGGACAGGTCTCGGCTCCCGATGTGGACGTCAGTGTTCCATCGAAGAAGTTCACCTTCGGTTGGGGCTCCAAAGGCAAGAAGGCGAAGAAGGCGAAGTTGCCGAAGGTGTCGGGAGACATAGGTGCTGGTGTCGATGTCAGTGGGAAGGTTGATGTTCCGAGTGTTGAGGTTGATGTGGACGCAGGTGCTCATGGCAAAGGTAAGAAGTTCAACTGGTCACCTAAAATCACTTTGCCAAAGTTCAAGATGCACATGCCAGAGGTGTCTGGAAAACTGCATGCAGATGCACCCGATGTGAGTGTGAGTGGAACTGGTCCATCTGTGGAATTGCCATCATTGAGAGCCAGTGGTAATTTGCCGAGTGTCGACGTGTCCCTTCCAGACGCATCGTTAACAGGTGATCTCTCTGGTAAGCTGGATCTAGATGGGACTGGCGTGAAGATCAACGACGCTGATTTGAAACTGCCTGACTTGGAGATATCAGGAGGTGTGAGTGCACCGTCTGTGGAGGGTGACTTGTCCATTCCTCAGGTGTCTGCCGGTCTGGATACAGATGTGAAACTACCCAGTGCTGAATTGGACGTGAAATTGCCTAGTGTACAGCTGACCGGTCCAGATCTCGACGTGCATGGTGTAGCGCCAGATGCAGGTGTGAGTGCGAGTGTCGACGTTCCCAAACCGCATATTTCAATCAAGGCACCGAAATTCGGTTTCGGTTTTGGTAATAAGAAGGCGAAATTGAAGACACCGAAAGCTGGTGTGAAGGTGGAGGGAGAGGGAGGTGCGAAGGTAGATTTGGACGCCGGACTGGACGCCCACATTGATGGCAAAGCAAGCAAAGGAGGTAAGAAATTCCACTGGTCTCCGAAGTTCGGGTTCCCGAAGGGTGGTCTGAAGATAGGTGGTGGTGCCAAAAAGCCGGACGCCTCAATATCTGTCTCGGCTCCGACTGGTGGTGTTGATGTCTCAGTTCCGAAACCCGATCTCGACGTCTCCTTGGAGGTTCCTGATGTGGAGGTATCTGCGTCTGTGCCGGAAATCGGCGTGTCAGGTGGTGCAGGTAGAGGTGGAGAGTTGGGAGTGACTGGACAGGTCTCGGCTCCCGATGTGGACGTCAGTGTTCCATCGAAGAAGTTCACCTTCGGTTGGGGCTCCAAAGGCAAGAAGGCGAAGAAGGCGAAGTTGCCGAAGGTGTCGGGAGACATAGGTGCTGGTGTCGATGTCAGTGGGAAGGTTGATGTTCCGAGTGTTGAGGTTGATGTGGACGCAGGTGCTCATGGCAAAGGTAAGAAGTTCAACTGGTCACCTAAAATCACTTTGCCAAAGTTCAAGATGCACATGCCAGAGGTGTCTGGAAAACTGCATGCAGATGCACCCGATGTGAGTGTGAGTGGAACTGGTCCATCTGTGGAATTGCCATCATTGAGAGCCAGTGGTAATTTGCCGAGTGTCGACGTGTCCCTTCCAGACGCATCGTTAACAGGTGATCTCTCTGGTAAGCTGGATCTAGATGGGACTGGCGTGAAGATCAACGACGCTGATTTGAAACTGCCTGACTTGGAGATATCAGGAGGTGTGAGTGCACCGTCTGTGGAGGGTGACTTGTCCATTCCTCAGGTGTCTGCCGGTCTGGATACAGATGTGAAACTACCCAGTGCTGAATTGGACGTGAAATTGCCTAGTGTACAGCTGACCGGTCCAGATCTCGACGTGCATGGTGTAGCGCCAGATGCAGGTGTGAGTGCGAGTGTCGACGTTCCCAAACCGCATATTTCAATCAAGGCACCGAAATTCGGTTTCGGTTTTGGTAATAAGAAGGCGAAATTGAAGACACCGAAAGCTGGTGTGAAGGTGGAGGGAGAGGGAGGTGCGAAGGTAGATTTGGACGCCGGACTGGACGCCCACATTGATGGCAAAGCAAGCAAAGGAGGTAAGAAATTCCACTGGTCTCCGAAGTTCGGGTTCCCGAAGGGTGGTCTGAAGATAGGTGGTGGTGCCAAAAAGCCGGACGCCTCAATATCTGTCTCGGCTCCGACTGGTGGTGTTGATGTCTCAGTTCCAAAACCCGATCTCGACGTCTCCTTGGAGGTTCCTGATGTGGAGGTATCTGCGTCTGTGCCGGAAATCGGCGTGTCAGGTGGTGCAGGTAGAGGTGGAGAGTTGGGAGTGACTGGACAGGTCTCGGCTCCCGATGTGGACGTCAGTGTTCCATCGAAGAAGTTCACCTTCGGTTGGGGCTCCAGAGGCAAGAAGGCGAAGAAGGCGAAGTTGCCGAAGGTGTCGGGAGACATAGGTGCTGGTGTCGATGTCAGTGGGAAGGTTGATGTTCCGAGTGTTGAGGTTGATGTGGACGCAGGTGCTCATGGCAAAGGTAAGAAGTTCAACTGGTCACCTAAAATCACTTTGCCAAAGTTCAAGATGCACATGCCAGAGGTGTCTGGAAAACTGCATGCAGATGCACCCGATGTGAGTGTGAGTGGAACTGGTCCATCTGTGGAATTGCCATCATTGAGAGCCAGTGGTAATTTGCCGAGTGTCGACGTGTCCCTTCCAGACGCATCGTTAACAGGTGATCTCTCTGGTAAGCTGGATCTAGATGGGACTGGCGTGAAGATCAACGACGCTGATTTGAAACTGCCTGACTTGGAGATATCAGGAGGTGTGAGTGCACCGTCTGTGGAGGGTGACTTGTCCATTCCTCAGGTGTCTGCCGGTCTGGATACAGATGTGAAACTACCCAGTGCTGAATTGGACGTGAAATTGCCTAGTGTACAGCTGACCGGTCCAGATCTCGACGTGCATGGTGTAGCGCCAGATGCAGGTGTGAGTGCGAGTGTCGACGTTCCCAAACCGCATATTTCAATCAAGGCACCGAAATTCGGTTTCGGTTTTGGTAATAAGAAGGCGAAATTGAAGACACCGAAAGCTGGTGTGAAGGTGGAGGGAGAGGGAGGTGCGAAGGTAGATTTGGACGCCGGACTGGACGCCCACATTGATGGCAAAGCAAGCAAAGGAGGTAAGAAATTCCACTGGTCTCCGAAGTTCGGGTTCCCGAAGGGTGGTCTGAAGATAGGTGGTGGTGCCAAAAAGCCGGACGCCTCAATATCTGTCTCGGCTCCGACTGGTGGTGTTGATGTCTCAGTTCCGAAACCCGATCTCGACGTCTCCTTGGAGGTTCCTGATGTGGAGGTATCTGCGTCTGTGCCGGAAATCGGCGTGTCAGGTGGTGCAGGTAGAGGTGGAGAGTTGGGAGTGACTGGACAGGTCTCGGCTCCCGATGTGGACGTCAGTGTTCCATCGAAGAAGTTCACCTTCGGTTGGGGCTCCAAAGGCAAGAAGGCGAAGAAGGCGAAGTTGCCGAAGGTGTCGGGAGACATAGGTGCTGGTGTCGATGTCAGTGGGAAGGTTGATGTTCCGAGTGTTGAGGTTGATGTGGACGCAGGTGCTCATGGCAAAGGTAAGAAGTTCAACTGGTCACCTAAAATCACTTTGCCAAAGTTCAAGATGCACATGCCAGAGGTGTCTGGAAAACTGCATGCAGATGCACCCGATGTGAGTGTGAGTGGAACTGGTCCATCTGTGGAATTGCCATCATTGAGAGCCAGTGGTAATTTGCCGAGTGTCGACGTGTCCCTTCCAGACGCATCGTTAACAGGTGATCTCTCTGGTAAGCTGGATCTAGATGGGACTGGTGTGAAGATCAACGACGCTGATTTGAAACTGCCTGACTTGGAGATATCAGGAGGTGTGAGTGCACCGTCTGTGGAGGGTGACTTGTCCATTCCTCAGGTGTCTGCCGGTCTGGATACAGATGTGAAACTACCCAGTGCTGAATTGGACGTGAAATTGCCTAGTGTACAGCTGACCGGTCCAGATCTCGACGTGCATGGTGTAGCGCCAGATGCAGGTGTGAGTGCGAGTGTCGACGTTCCCAAACCGCATATTTCAATCAAGGCACCGAAATTCGGTTTCGGTTTTGGTAATAAGAAGGCGAAATTGAAGACACCGAAAGCTGGTGTGAAGGTGGAGGGAGAGGGAGGTGCGAAGGTAGATTTGGACGCCGGACTGGACGCCCACATTGATGGCAAAGCAAGCAAAGGAGGTAAGAAATTCCACTGGTCTCCGAAGTTCGGGTTCCCGAAGGGTGGTCTGAAGATAGGTGGTGGTGCCAAAAAGCCGGACGCCTCAATATCTGTCTCGGCTCCGACTGGTGGTGTTGATGTCTCAGTTCCGAAACCCGATCTCGACGTCTCCTTGGAGGTTCCTGATGTGGAGGTATCTGCGTCTGTGCCGGAAATCGGCGTGTCAGGTGGTGCAGGTAGAGGTGGAGAGTTGGGAGTGACTGGACAGGTCTCGGCTCCCGATGTGGACGTCAGTGTTCCATCGAAGAAGTTCACCTTCGGTTGGGGCTCCAAAGGCAAGAAGGCGAAGAAGGCGAAGTTGCCGAAGGTGTCGGGAGACATAGGTGCTGGTGTCGATGTCAGTGGGAAGGTTGATGTTCCGAGTGTTGAGGTTGATGTGGACGCAGGTGCTCATGGCAAAGGTAAGAAGTTCAACTGGTCACCTAAAATCACTTTGCCAAAGTTCAAGATGCACATGCCAGAGGTGTCTGGAAAACTGCATGCAGATGCACCCGATGTGAGTGTGAGTGGAACTGGTCCATCTGTGGAATTGCCATCATTGAGAGCCAGTGGTAATTTGCCGAGTGTCGACGTGTCCCTTCCAGACGCATCGTTAACAGGTGATCTCTCTGGTAAGCTGGATCTAGATGGGACTGGCGTGAAGATCAACGACGCTGATTTGAAACTGCCTGACTTGGAGATATCAGGAGGTGTGAGTGCACCGTCTGTGGAGGGTGACTTGTCCATTCCTCAGGTGTCTGCCGGTCTGGATACAGATGTGAAACTACCCAGTGCTGAATTGGACGTGAAATTGCCTAGTGTACAGCTGACCGGTCCAGATCTCGACGTGCATGGTGTAGCGCCAGATGCAGGTGTGAGTGCGAGTGTCGACGTTCCCAAACCGCATATTTCAATCAAGGCACCGAAATTCGGTTTCGGTTTTGGTAATAAGAAGGCGAAATTGAAGACACCGAAAGCTGGTGTGAAGGTGGAGGGAGAGGGAGGTGCGAAGGTAGATTTGGACGCCGGACTGGACGCCCACATTGATGGCAAAGCAAGCAAAGGAGGTAAGAAATTCCACTGGTCTCCGAAGTTCGGGTTCCCGAAGGGTGGTCTGAAGATAGGTGGTGGTGCCAAAAAGCCGGACGCCTCAATATCTGTCTCGGCTCCGACTGGTGGTGTTGATGTCTCAGTTCCGAAACCCGATCTCGACGTCTCCTTGGAGGTTCCTGATGTGGAGGTATCTGCGTCTGTGCCGGAAATCGGCGTGTCAGGTGGTGCAGGTAGAGGTGGAGAGTTGGGAGTGACTGGACAGGTCTCGGCTCCCGATGTGGACGTCAGTGTTCCATCGAAGAAGTTCACCTTCGGTTGGGGCTCCAAAGGCAAGAAGGCGAAGAAGGCGAAGTTGCCGAAGGTGTCGGGAGACATAAGTGCTGGTGTCGATGTCAGTGGGAAGGTTGATGTTCCGAGTGTTGAGGTTGATGTGGACGCAGGTGCTCATGGCAAAGGTAAGAAGTTCAACTGGTCACCTAAAATCACTTTGCCAAAGTTCAAGATGCACATGCCAGAGGTGTCTGGAAAACTGCATGCAGATGCACCCGATGTGAGTGTGAGTGGAACTGGTCCATCTGTGGAATTGCCATCATTGAGAGCCAGTGGTAATTTGCCGAGTGTCGACGTGTCCCTTCCAGACGCATCGTTAACAGGTGATCTCTCTGGTAAGCTGGATCTAGATGGGACTGGCGTGAAGATCAACGACGCTGATTTGAAACTGCCTGACTTGGAGATATCAGGAGGTGTGAGTGCACCGTCTGTGGAGGGTGACTTGTCCATTCCTCAGGTGTCTGCCGGTCTGGATACAGATGTGAAACTACCCAGTGCTGAATTGGACGTGAAATTGCTAG